AACCTTAATCATTAATCTCATGAGTTCTTGTTGCTACAGCAATTAATTAATGAATTAATATATGCTGAGTAAATGTACATATGAATAAAAGATTACTAGGTCTTTAGGAAGAACTGTATTTTCTTTATTTTTAGATGATGCACATTTGATATGACGTAGTGTGACAGTATGGTGATCTTCATGAAAGAGGCATGTGTTCAGTCATGATCCTAACATCTAGATGGCCACAGGAAAGGTTAGATTTCCATCTCTGACCTTTGAAATGGGTTCCAAAGTCAGAGCCAGAACTTCAGCCTTGGAGTGCCCTCTCACCGGCCTCACACCCAGTGTGGTTTTTCCAGCAGCTGCAGCTGTGAGGATGGAAGATCAACCACAGGGCTGGTATTGGGGTCACATTCCAGGGAAATGCAGGGAGGGGAAAAGCAAGGCTCTGCCAGGATACATCGTGAACAGTAGCAAAACACAAAGCTGTTATCTGAGTGTTTTGAGGGATGGGGAGAGTGTGAAGGCGATCGTTCCTGCCATGCTGCTTCTGCCTTCTATTGGATGCCTGTAATCCCCCAAATTCAGAGGATTATGGGCAGCTACATTGGATTGTGTGGTCCCAGCATGACAAAGAGGAATGCTTCTTTTACAGCCCATATGTACTCACATGTAGCATTTGATCTTAGCTAAGATAGCAAGAAGAGAAATTCCACTGGCAACGAAGTCTGCTTTCAATTGTAGCCTCATGTTGCAACCCTATCATTATTTACCTGGGAGTAAGTCCCATTTAATTCAGTGGGGCTTGCCATCTGTGGTTTGAGAACTACTTGTATGAAAAACATTAAACAAACTTAAATTTTGGCCTAACTGGGACACTTTTGAAACTGTTTTTTTTTTAAACTATTGATACATGTAGTCAATTAATTAAATATCACAGTAACAAAGTTTCCTGCTGGGGGAGTAGAGTCCAAAGTTATGGTTCCACAGTGAAGGAATAAAGCATAGGTTCCCTCCTGCCCTTTCCTCACCCCAAGGACTTTGTTATCTTCTTCACTTTTAAATGGAAATAATGAACACCAGATAAACATTCTTTCTAGAACACAGTGTTTCATCACCTATTAGTTAAAATTATTTTTATGGGATTTTTATTTTTTGTCATTGGCATCTTGCATTTATGTAAATCTTTTACCAGCTCTGAATAACAATGATTTTAACGCAGAAGGAAGAAACTGCTTAATGGCTGGATGAGATTAATCATAAACAAATCATTGAGTAATATGATTTCTTGACTATCAAAATCCTATCAGAGGGAAAAAACTCATTCTCTGTTTCTGGAGAGTTATTGATGGCCAATGACTAATTATGGACAAAGAATAATATTAATAATCCATTACAGTCTGATAAATATGCCAAGCATCTTTGACATGGGTGAGCTGATATGTATTCTGAACATGTTCTCCATGAAATCCCTCATAAGAGCTACTTATTAGCCCAACTCTCTGCAGCCAGATACTGCTAATTAATCAACGGCAGCAAATCTTTACATGGTAAACAAATCTACAACACATGAAGGATGATTATATTTAGTTTGCTTGGGAAGATTCGCTCCCTCCCCGCAACAATCACATTTTCATGCCAAAGGCATCCTGAATTGCAAAATATTTTTGCCACTCATGGGGGGGGGGTGTTACCCTCTTTTTATTCAAAATGGGTGTACCCTGCATACTACAACAAAACCTTCAACTGGTGTAAATTCAGATGGTGCCCCTGAAATCCATAGAGTAATGCTGATTTATGCCAGCTGAGGATCTAACACTTACTGAATATTTATGGAATGGTTCTGCAAAAATATAAGATAGTGTTTTTTTAGTCTTTGGGGAATTTTCCCCCTGCTTTTGCTTTGCACATGGGAATGATTGAAAAGGTGTTTTTTCCCCCCTCTTTTGACTTAAGAAAACTCATCCCAGCTAAGATTATTTTCAGAGTAGCTTGACAGCCTGACTACAAACTTCTTTCATAAGAACAGTTCCTGCTTCTGCAGGGAAAAAACAAAAATTGAAAAGCAAAGCAGCAGTGTGTTTGAATGCGTCTGAATATGTCAGACATGTGCCAGACTCCAACATCTATCACTTCTGGGTTGTGATTATGGGAGTTGCATACAGGCACACCTGCAGGTCCTCAGGGTGAACAAGGTGCGCCGTTCCATGGAAAGTGCAGGATACTCTCAGCAGCAGCAACATGGCCATCACTTGATGGGTGCTGCCCAATCTTATGCTTAGCCATGCTGAGGCTGCAATCTTACATGAAGTTATAATAGGTATAAACCTACTATGCCAGTGGACTTAAGCAAGCTTGACTCTGTACAGGATAGGCGTATCCAAAGGTTGTTACAGGGGACCTGGAAAGAATCAGTCGTGACTTAACTCGTCCATGCTTAGGTCAGCTTAACTATGCATGTTACTCAGATGCGAGCCCTACCGAGTTCAGTGGAGCATACTGACAAGTCAAGTGCGTATCAGAATTCACTGCAGTCAAACACCATAGTTTTTGAATGCACGGGTTTAATCTTGGAACATCCTGGAATATCTTAAATTACAATATGCTTAGTCTGGTTCCAAGTAAATATGGAGAGAGTTCACTGGGTATGTGCAGAGTGTCTTCATACTGATTAAGTCAGTACTGCTCAAATGTTTTGAAGTAGAACTCCAATAGAATGCAATGCAATCCATGCTGATTCAGAAGTAAGTCCTATTAAATATAGTGGGTATTACTGTAATTATGGCTGCAACCCTATGCATATTTAGACAGAAAAAAGTCTAACAATACTTGTTGGGAACTGTAGAGCTTTTTCTGTTTAAATATGCACAGGACTGAACCCTAAGTGGGTTTAGGAACACAGCCTTAGTCCAGTTCCAAGCAAATGTTTTAAAGTGATTATTATTGTTCATATATCACCTTATCTGTTTAAAAACCACACATGTGAAAATATATTTAAAACAATAAAAACCTTAAAACAACAGTTTTAAAATGCTAAATTGAAAAGATGCATTTTCATATCCATTCTAAGGGTCAATCAGGGACCAACATACGTTCCTGGGGGAGCATATTCTGTACTTTGAGGACATCACAGGAGAAAGCCTGGCCACAAAATGCCTCACAAACATACCTCTATGACCAAAGGTGCCCTTCAGAACCTCATGCTCAGGCAGGTAAACAAGGAGCGAAACAGTACCTCAGATAGGGCCTTACGCCATAGTCCTGTTCACAGGAGGGTCCCATTTTGAAGTGAGGGCCACCTATACATTTACTCAGCTTTTTAGGACCAGCATGGAAGCCAGGAGTGTTTGGCACGGAAGCCTTTGGCATTCCCCAGATGGCTGCATCTCCATCCCCTGGCCTCACTTCCTTTCCTTCACCCACAGATTGTTTGGTGGCTTCTCAGATTTTGGGCAGCTTCTTTCCCCATTTAAAAGTCTGAAATTCCTCTTCTAAGGCTTAGTTACTGGCAGTAAGATATTTAGGCAAAAAAAGTTGGTATTTCATCTCTGAAATGCATGACCAATATTTCTCTCCCCCTTCCTCTCAAAGCCATTCCATGCTTGGCAGCTTTTTCTACATTTCCTGAAATGTTTTAATGAAATGCTCAGCACATCACAGCTCCAAGCAATCACAGCACCATCATGGCAATAGGAATAAAATCAAGTTTGCTTCTGATGCCCTTATCACTTGCCACTACCTGGGTGATCATTTGGGAGCTCCATCAGCTACAAGCCACTGGATTTGGCTCAACGTTTAGCATTGGTTGCACCACTGTTGTCACCACCAATGGGCCAGGATGAGAGGAGGGAGAATGAACAGATCTGCAGTGGTGAAGAGGAGAAGCAACTCCAAAATGCTGCGGCCAGTGGGACACTGCTGGGCTGTAGGATCTTCACTGGTGTCCAAACATGCATACTCTTGAGGGAGGCTTTGTTAGAGAGGACTAGGGATGGAATAACTCCTGCTCAAATATTCCCTTAAAGTTTACTGAGTGACATCAGCCTAGTCTGCCTTACAACTTTGTGTGAATAAAGTGGGTCAGGATGGGAGAAGACTTCTGTGACCTCCAGCTCCATGATGCTTGGAGAAAGAAAAAGGAGAAAACGTAATCAATAAGATTGGTAAACATTTTGTTCAAAAGTGAAGGCATAGCAAGCTGCATGTGCTCACAGCTCTGTTCTCAATTGTTAGCACCAAGAACAGTTTCCAGGGCTTAACCAAGAAAGTCCATTCCTTGGAATCCATTGGCCTTTGCGTCCAACTTTACTTAGCTGGCCCAGGAATGCTGGAAGTTTGTCCATCAAAACATGCACAAGAGCATACCCTAGAGTTTCAGTAATCTGCATACTCACTTACCTGGGAGAAAACCCCACTGAACTCAACGGGACTTAAGAGTAGGATCAGGTCACACCAAGCCCCCCCAAAAATCCTACGAGAGAAGCGCATAAAACGCAGCATTTCCCTTCCACCGGGTTGCAACAGCGGCATGTCAAACTGTGCACGTACATCTGGTGGAGGCTGATGGGGGTTGTAGTACACCGCAGCTGTCGAGATGCCAGTCTGAAAAAGGCTGCGGACTTCGACATAACTCCGCCCGGAGCCAGATGTCTGTGCCCAGCTGGACCTGCTGCTGCCCCATGCCCATGTTGGCTGGGGAGGGTGATGGGCGGTGTAGTTCAGCCCACTTGGAGAGGCGCCGCGATAGGAAAAGCTGATCTAGCGCACTCCAACCTCGTCCTCTTGCCTGCTTGCTCCACCCTAACGTTTGCCAACACCGCTTCTGGGTCTGGGCCGGCGAAGCTCGGCGCGCCGTCAGCCTTGCGCGCTGCCCGCCAGGCCAGGTCAGAGGACAGCGGCGGATCACGCGCGCCCGGGCTGGCTCCTGGGCTCCGGAGCGGGGCGGGAGGGGGAGCTACGTTTTAGCCAATGGGCGGCCAGCGGCGGCCCTTCCTTTCGGCTGGTTGGCGCGTCAGAGAAGACGCTACCCGCCGCCGCCGCCGCGCCGCCGCCGCCGCCGCCGCTTTCGTGCGCCTCGCCAGGGAAGGGGCCCGCCGGCTGAACAAGGTAAAGCATGGCTGCGAAGGTAAGTGCCAGAGCCCGGCGGAGTGCCGCGTACAGTCGTGCCAGCCGCCACCGCCGCCGAAGTTTATTACCCAGGCTCTCTGCAGGCCTTTGCTGCCCGGGTGCCGGGAGAGGCCCCGGCTGCTCGCTTTGACCTAGGGCCTGTCCTTGGGGCAGTTCGGCCTGCGGAGGGAAACCCCTTGGGGCCCCCAAGCAGAGAGCAACCTGTCGTGCGTCCCCATAGCGAAGGTGAGGTACGGGGAGGCGGTGCGATGGAAGGAGGAAGCGAGAGCGTGCAACGCTGTCTCCATTAGGCGAAGAAGCAGCGCCCTTCGCCGGGGCTGAGGGCTGCTTTGACATCATTGCCTCGTTAAGAGCGGCTCTGCTGAATCATAGCCATGGCCTCTCTAGGACGGCAGCTTGTTTCCCATGGTGGCCTGACAGACCCCAACAGAAAAGCCACCAAGCCTGAAGCTTTGCCCCTTCCTTCCCCCAGCCCTGGTCGACAGGGGTACACTGCCTCTGATTGTGGAGGTTCCTTTTAACTGTCAAAGACAGTTGCTGTTGATAGAGCTGAAAGCCTTCGTTCCCTTGACACTAAAATAAAAGAATTCTGAGTTTGTTCCTAGACTAGGTCCATTGTATTTTTTCATCCCATTGGGACTAACATGGCTCAAGGTCCGCACTCGTTTTTGTTCTTCATCTGCAACTTTTGTTAGCCACTACCAGCATGGCAAGTGGTAAGGCATAATGGGAATTGTAGCACAACAACATCTGGAAGGGAACCAGATGTTTCTCCCTGGTACCAGATGTTTATTTTTATCTCTGTTGTAAAATGTCTATATAATAAAGTGCCTTTCAAGACCCATTTCCATTACAGTCTCATCAGGCTTTAAAGTATACTTTTCCAGAAAACAGTTTTTCATTTCCCAGGGTATGAATTCACACCATGTGCATTTATGACAGCTCTATAGCACAGCATAATCATTGTGTTTATTAATTGGAACAGAGTTCTGCTTTTTAAAACAGCCAACTAGTGTTGCAGTGCCCATACAGTTCAAAGTGAGCTTGACACAAAGGTCACAATTGTGTAAGGACTTTGGTTTGAGCACTGATAATCACCTGACTTCCTTTGACCATTCTCCAAGTTCAAACAGTTTAGGGGTATACAGTGGCTGTCAACCAGGAGAATAATTTTACAGGTGCTGTGGGCAAAGCAAGTCTCTTGCCCAGTTGTAATTATAAGAAGGTGATCTGTGGTCTATTATGCTACAAATAGATTATTAGAACATCGTTGGAGTCATTAGGCCTTTTTTCTGTGAATAAAATAGTGGCTTTTTGCCTGCAATGAATTAATGTGCTGCACAATCTTTTACTCCCTTTGCAGACTTTGGCTTAGTTGGCACCATTTTTTAAAAAGGTAGAATCCTGGCTTGAACATGGAAACTAATGTCATAGCTTCTTCTTAACTTGTATGGAAGTTCCCATTAGAGTGGAGCAATCAGAATATGGCAGCAGATAAGTTTAGCCAAAGACCTCACTTGATAACTTGGATCAAAGGATTTTTCAGCCCCTTTTTCTCACCCCACCCCATTTTTAGCTTCTGTGGAAGGAACAGTACTATCTGTCTCTATGAGGACACAATGGGGCTTTGGCGATGACAAGGGGTCAGGAAGGGGAAGAGGCTGGAGACATTACCTTATGCCGGTTCTTATCAGTGGCTCAGCCTCCTTCCCTCTCCTGTGCTAAATCCAGATGACTGGAAACAGCTCCATTTATCAGATGCCCATAAGCCTCTCATTTTGGTGGAAGCTGATGAGGTTATATTTAATGGTAATTTATTATGTACTATTGTATTTCAATGTATTTTATCATGTTGTAAGCCGCCCCGAGGTTTCGGCAAGGGGCGGCATAGAAATGTTATAATAATAATAATAATAATAATAATAATAATAATAATGTGGCAATCATGTCCTCTATCCCTCCACTGCAATTAAATATCTTTGAGACCTGAGCATACACTCAGTTCAGGAATTTATTTGTCATTACCAGAGCTGAGCTCTCAGCCTTTCACATGGAAAACTGCCCTAGGTTCTCCTTTCACCACAAGTTTTCTTCATTTCAGTAACCAAAGAGTGAGAGAGCAGGGTAGGGTGGGGGTAGGGTTTGCAGAATGCAACAACCCATTGTGGGCAAGTAGTCACAGTAGTTTGTCATGTTTACCAAACTCAGCCTGTTTCCTTCAAGGAGGATTATTTTCAGGCAACACACCACCCTAACCCGTATCCTGCTCCTACCCTAGCTATGTGATGAAGGCTGTGAAATTTTCATGAATAACAAAGGAAAAACTAAACCAGGCCAGAGGTCAATCCACAGGGTCCATTATACTAAGCATTCTGGTCAGTCAGGGTGGTCCAAAGGAATGGATAGCCCAAGGTCTAGAAATTTGTTGGACCCAATGGAACAAGCAAAGTACAGAGTTGTTCACAACAGCCAGCCAGCTGGTTCTGGCTGGGCTAATTAACCAGGCCAGTGTTTCCTTCTCTTTGAACTTCTGCTATTCATGTTTGACCCTAGGCTGTTCCAAGGGGTGAATTATCTCTGGCTCTGTTGGGCACTTGGGGAAGTCCAGGAACAGCCCAGTTGCTCTTCCAGAGGAAGGCTGACAACTGAAGCCTCCAGTTCCTAACTTGGCTCTGGCTGGCTCCTTCCCTCTTCATTTTCATCATATGAATCTTTTTCCAGGTAGGATGTGACAACCCTGGCAATCCATGGCTTGTTCTAGGGGTTGTTTGAGTTGTTGTGCCATCTCAACCTGGAAGATTGATTCCATCAATCATGGGTTGTGAGGATTAGATAGCAAGCTACTCAGGAAGGGCAGCAGAATGCCCTGCTGCTTTTCACTATCTCACCCATGATGCTACCAATCAGCCCTTCCACCAATGTCCAAGTGGCACACCAACACAATATCACTGGTCTGCCAACCTTTTAAATCATTTTTTAAAATTTGCTTCCATTTTTAATCTTATATTTTGGAGCTTCTATAATGAACAATTGTTATTTTCCCTTGTTTTAAGGCCTAAACCATTGCCTGATTATTCGTTGTTTTAAAAATTATTTTTATTGTTTTTTATAGATATACGAATATACACTTATAGCTGTCTGCTATGTATAGTCTTATCTTGTCAATGGTCTTTTAAACTTCAGCTGTCAAAGGGGAGTAGGTAACAGACTGAAAAGAGGAGGCTCCATATAAGTTAATTTGTGCATAGTTGCCAGCTGTCAGTTGCCTAGCTGTCAGCTGAAAAGTAAAGGGAGAAAAGTGGCAAAAGTAGGTAAACCAAAAGGAGTTGGTGGCAATATCACCCTCTTAGTGAAATGATCCTCTGCTTTCAAGTGATGAAGTGAAGTTTTCTGTGTCCTCTGTCTTTTAAATACTTACTGGAGTCTTCAGCTACTCAGAAAGGGAAGATGTTAACTCCACATCCACTCTTTTAAAGTCTTTACTGCAGGTCCCTGACAGTTCTAGAAAAAGCACAACCCTGCAGTTCTTTCCTAGTCCAAAATATTACATATTTTTAGCACTGTCAGGGAATTCTAATAACTGCAACAGGAAGTGCTCCAAAGAAGAGATTCAGATAGTTGATGGAATTAATATCTTTGCTTTCTGCAGTAGCTGGAGATGCAAGAGAGTGTTAAAAAGGTGGAATATACTGAACGTTGTCCGTTCAACACTTAAAAGCCAGAGGATTACATCGCTAAGGGGATGATACTATCACTCTCCTCTGCTTTTGGTTCCCTTGCTTTTGTCACTTGCCCTCTATATTTCACTTGAAAGCTAGGCAACTGACAGCTGCCAACTGTGTGCAAGTTAATCTATATGCAATCTCACCCTGTTAGTTTCTTTATACCTTATTTACTCTACTTGACAACTCCCTTTGACATCTTAAAGTTACATGACCATTGATAAGGCAAAACTACACTTACAGGAAAGCCAGTTTTTGCACATTTGTGAAAGTCTGGCAAAAATAAGAAAAAATTGAATACAGTTGCACTTGTGTAATTTTCAGGGACTGAGAAAACATGACCCTAATGGTGCTTTTTAAAGCTCCTAAAATTAACCCCCCCCCCAAAAGGGTTAGTGATCAAAGTGGAGAGGGGGAGACTAGATAGGTTCTGCTGCAAAGCAGAGCTGGGATACAAGTTGGAGGACAGAGGGGGAAGGTAAGGGAAACCACATCATAGTGACCATGGTTGATTGTTAATCCATGGTTAAATTAACCATGTTGGATTGACCATTTGGTGTTTCCAATGCCTGCTGTGTGCATTGGATTTTAAAGTAGAAAATTAATAGTGGCTGTGCTCATCTGCAATTGCCCAAAGCAGAAATCTGTTACTCCATGTTATAATGATGCCCGTTTGGAACCCTCTTCCTAAACTTATGTAAAGGTATAACTGCTTGCACAAAATGACAATAACCTTAATGTAATATTGCAGCTTATAGTATATATAGTAGTCCAAGTGATAGGTGTGGAGCATAGTTAAGGTAGAAATGGAGGTAAGTCCGGTTGAAAGCAATGGGTCTTTCTTCAAGTGAACATATTTAGGAGTTGGGCCTTACTACAAGTAGGCTTGTCTAGGAAATACTGGGGACAGTACTTCTCTTGCTTGAAAAGTCTATTCTGAGAGATGATATGTTCAGTAAAGAGCAGCTTCTGCCAAAGTCATATTGAAAACTTAACCAACTAAGAGTTGAAAGGCATATTTAGGATCAGTCTCATAAAGCCATGTGCTCTGCAGAATTTGCCAAGAGTGTGGAATCTGTGAGCCATCAGCTTCAGCTGACAAAATTTTTCAGGAATGTAGGGGGTTGCAATCCAACCGAGTATCTAGTGGGGTCCACTGCCCTCCCCTGTGCTATATCTGAGCATCTGCAATGTTCATCTATTCTTCAAAAGAGATTTCATTGTTGCCTTCTACCTGTCTGGCTGCCAGCACTTGTAGCGATGCTTCACATTACAA